ATAACTAAAGAAAGGGCAAGAAAATTCATACAGGCTGTATTTACAGTAGGGCAGTAAGAAACTTGTCAGTTTGTAAAATAGGTTTCAAGTTTAGGATTCCAAAATGTTATAAATGAAAGCAAGGAGCAAAGACAACAGAACAGTCCTTTTATAAGGACCTGTTTTAAATTTGAGTTACAGCTTCACTGTGAGTGAAGTTCTACCAGTAAATTTTAATACTGCAGGAGTGGATTCCATAGGATAGTTCTGGTTTAGGTCTTACACCTGCAGGGAGGTTGAAAATACCTGGACAGTCATTCAAGCTAAAATTCTGTAATCCTGTTGGAACCAACCAAACAAAACCTTAAAAAACACAAACAGAAAAAAAGCCCACAAAACCCACCTTAATTGATTACACTTCCAATAGAGCAGTTGCTTTTCAAGGGGAATTTGATGCTATCTTGTGAATTTTTGGTAAATCTAACAGTGGAAGCCATGTGGCTGATAACAACAGACAAATTTGGGCAGGATGGTTTTCCAGAAGTGGCTGCCAGAAACCCACACACAGCAAAAAGATGACAGGATGGGTATTTTCTGCCTACCTGGATCATGGGTCTCCCCAGGTCTTTGGTTTGGCTGTGTTGACTATGTCCTTAAAAATTTGTAGCAACAATCATCAGAATGTTTCTATATGCATATCTTGCCAAAAAAAAAACCAAACACAACAACCAAAATGACTAATTGCTAGGGCTGGTTTTACATAGCATTAGCAAACACTACAGAATGTCTCAGTAGGAACAGTCAAAGAAACAAATTAATATTGTCCTACTTTAGCCACTTATAATAGGCAGCTAAATTCGATGGATAGTCAGTGAAAAGGATGCACCTCCAGATGTTGATTTGGAGCCAGAGATCATTTTAGGAGACTGTTTAGCAAATGGATGCCTCATGTCATTTTGGTGTGAATTGCTGCTCTAAACTGCCAGCAATTTTCATTGCATCCCTGACTGAAATTCAGAAGCCCTAATTCTATGATCTATTTTAAAGTGTAAATTCTTAAGCCCAAGTTAATAAATTAAGCCCTTAATGCAGCTGGACTTCTTAGTCTGTTTAATATCCATTTATTTAGCCTAAAGATGTTCAGGGAAAATAAGCAAAAATGGTACTGAGCTATTTTTCTCCCTTTAAATAAAACAAGGATTTGCATATACTTTAAAAATACATCTTCTCAGAAACTTGGATTTTAGTTGAGAATGGCAGTGTTTGGATCTATCTTAAGAGAAGTTACATGTCAATAACTTCCTGAGAGAAGAATACATGGTTTTCTTCTGTAATCACTGCTGTTAATTTTTTTTAATGCACTTCTAACTGTTGTTTTGTCTGAATACTTTTTTTTTTGTTGTTGTTCCTCCAGACAGGATCCTGCCACAAGCATTTTTAAATCAGATATTAATAGCATAGTTCACAGTTGTTACTGCCAGTGCTCAAACACAAATACTGTGTTTGTGTTCAGAGGAAAAAGCAAACATCAGATCTTGATTATGAGCATTTCTGCTTTCTTTACTTTAACAATCTGGCATAAGAAGTTTACATCACTATTGGCTAACTGTAGACCTTTAACTCTGAGGATCACTGGCTGTATGGTTTGCACTGGGGGCGGGGGGGGGCTGTCCCATTTTTTGCTTGTTGTTTTTAAATGGCAGAATTGCCAGGGAAACTTGAAGCTTTGTACGATTCCTTTATGCATAAGAAAAATACTAAGGGAGACTTTTGTGTTGAATGCTTACCTAAAATGAATTGATTTATTTGCAGACTGCATACAGGTATGTTTGGTTTCTTTATGAGACTCAGTATGATTGACCGGGCTGAGCGTTAGAGCAGAGATCAGAATTATGGAGTCCTGTCTTCACTACTGTGACCTGCACGATAACTTCTCATGTTCCTGTTTCTGAACAGATGATCATATAATCATTTAGGTTGGAAAAGGCCTTTCAGATCATCCAGTCCAACCATTAACCTAACATTGCCAAGTCCACCGCTAAACCACATTGCTAAATACCATATCCACACATCTTTTAAGTATCTCCAGGGATAGTGCCTTAACCACTTCCCTGGGCAGCCTGTTCTAATGCTTAACAACCCTTTTGGTGAAAAAATTTTCCTAATATCCAATCTAAAACTCCCCTGGAGCAACTTCAGGCTATTTCCTCTTGTTCTATCTCTTGTTACTTGGGAGAAAAGACAACTACCTCCCTACAGCCTCCTTTCAGGTTATTATAGAGAGCAACAAGTTCTCCCCTGAGCCTTGTTTTCACCAGGCTAAACAACTCCAGTTCCCTCAGCCACTCCTTACAAGACTTTCTCTATTTCATTCACCATTAACATAACGCCAGCCTGAAATCTAGAGGTATATTTTTAAATCAATGTGTATGGCCATTTGTCTTGTGAACTCAGTCTTCTACAGATATATTAATGTCTGTGTTCTATGCAGAGCCACACAGTTACTCTAAACAGGGGAGGGAGAAGAATTATTTTTTCTAAGGCAATGTAAAGCTGTACTTAGAAGCAACTTGTCAAATATATTATTAGCATAGCAATGAAATATTATTTTATAATTACAGTAAGTGAAGCTTTTCAATCTTGTGTATTCCTGTAGCACAAAGCCAACTGATGAGTGGTTTGTAAGCTCTTTGTATCATGGATTGAATTCCTGTCTGTCACAATAGGTTTGTCCTCTTTGCATTTTCAGTGACATTTCTAAGTGATAAGCTTTAAAACTTGAAAAACATACAGGTTATTCAGGCTTTGGATTGCTGGTCAGTTGCTGAATGCTGTTATTGTGATTCATCATTCTCTGGTGGATCACTAGAATCTCATCATAATTATTCCTTCTTCCATTTTGTAAGATATGGGAGATGATGAACTTCAGCATGAGTAAACTCATGTAAAGACATTCATTCTTTGCAAAGAACTATAAACAAAAATTCTTCATTTGCTAAAGAAGATAAGAAAGGTCACAAAGAAAATTCTATTACTTGTGGAGCTTGGTCAGATCTCATCTGTAGAGACAAGAGTAGAATTCACCCTATTCTGAGTTAAGTGCCAGGGAGTGCTCAGTGAACATGCAGCAAGGACTTTGATATTGCTCAGGAGAAAAGAAATATGAGCTAAAACTAAGAGTGATTGTGTGTGTTATGTAGAACCCAAAGCCTTTATCAACAGAGCTGTGGCAAGTACACTAAAAATAGCGTTACCTGAGGTTCCAAGTATTTGCAAATTGTACCACTGAAAAAAGTAAAATTTCAGTGTCCTCTTTTTGGGTCTACAGAGTCATAGAATCGTGAAATCAACTAGGTGGGAAAACACCTTTAAGATCAAGTCCAACCTTTACCCCATGACCGCAAAGTCCACCACTAAGCCATGTCACTAAGGGCCTCATCTGCATGGTTTGTGAACACTTTCAGGGACAGTGATTCTACCGGTTCCTTGGGCAGCCTGTTCCAGTGCTGACCATCCTCTCTGTGAAGAATTTTTTTCTAATATCCAGTTTAAAGATCCCCTGGTGCAGCTTGAGGCTGTTACCTCTTGTCCTATAACTTCTTATATAAATCCACTTATACTTCTTTCTCATTTTAAAATCTGGCTTTCTAACATACTAGCATTTTGGTTTAGATTGGCATTGTAAACAGTTGAAGTGATTTTAAATTATTTTGTAGTACATTTAACTGCGAATATGAATCTGATATAGCTGGCAGTGAGCAGCAGAAGATTTACATTTGGTTGACTTTCCCCTTTTCATATAAGTGGGAGTTAACATTTATTCTTTCAGTTACAAGTTTGATTATAATCTAGAGACTCTTGTTAAAGCACTGGCTAAAAGGAGTGCCACAAGCAAGATGTTTTCATTTTGTTTGCTGCTAGGAAAGTTTTGTTGAATGTGCTGCTGTGCCAAAGCCATAGAAGTAGTTGCTTTTTTTCCTGCAGTGTGAAATTGAGCCCAGATATTTCTTGAGCAACAGGCACTGGTGACTTAGAGAAATAATTACTCATTCATTGTATTTTAAAGCTTTGGAGATAGGTCAAAACAATTGATATTCAAGGTACTTTCTAAAGCACAGTGATACATCAATTTATTGTTGATATTAACCGGAGAAAAGTATTTATCAGTTATTACTCACCTCAAAAGGAATTTGGGTAGATATATCTTATGCTCCATTTCTGAGTAATGTAGAGAAGTTCATTAGTTACGAAATCAAAATCAGCTCTTTTTTTTTTTTTTTCCTTGCTCTTTCATGCAGAATACAACAGGAAAAAGAGAAGCTCATCTTTGCAAGATAATTAATATTTAGGTGTTACTTTACAGCATGGACAATGAAGCTGATATGAGTGGATAAAAAGGGACAAATGAAATACACCTTATCTGTTTTCACTAAGCACGTTTCTCTGTACATTCAGAAGACTTTTCTTTTTTAGCACACTGAAATAAAGCAACAGAATATCAAACCAAGTAAAAGGAAATTGAGTGCATACATATTGGATATTTGTGATTAAGAAGTCACCTGGAGACAATGAACTTTGAAAAATGAAGATAAACTGAACTTAAATACTAATGGGACAAGTGGTGGCATTATAGGTCCAGGAACTCTTACCTGAGTCAGATGGGATGCCATCAGGATAGGTCTGGAAAAGCTAGAAACCTGATCTCTCTCTCTTTTTTTTTTTTTTTCAAAGAGATATGCAAGTAGTAGTAGTGAGGATTTTTATTCTGACATATCTCTTTTTCTAATGTGTTACAGGTATTGGACCCAGCTCGTATGGAGTGAGGTGCAGTGTGACTATGAACACTCAAGACTTGGCTACACAAAGAGAAATAATAAGTGCTATCCAAGGCAGCGATACAAGTGGTTTGAAGGATCTGTGGATGGTTGCTTTTCCTCACAATGTAAAAATTGAGCTAACTTATGATGTGGAAAGTTTTCAAGATAAGATGACAATACACTGTTTTTGTATAAAGGCTGAATATATGTAATACTATGTTCTTGAGAATACTTCATGCGTGTCTGTCCTCAATCAGCAGAGGCATGCTTTAAAGAATTGGCCCATGACCATGGAAAGAAGACTGCTGGGATGGCACTAGTTGGAATCACTCCAGAGCACTGTAAGTATTGTGCATTGTGTGCATTAATGAAAGGCACTGGATAACTTTGGAAGAGGGGAAGCAATATCCGTATTATTTTATAAGCCATATATATGTATAATCATACATCTTAAGCATATCTATTTTAAATCTCAGCATTGACAAACTTTTCTGTATTGAGCTAGTGAATCATAACTTGCTGTGTTTGGGGAACCACAAATGAACAGTGTGAATCTGGAATCATTCCATGTTAATGACTGTTCTTTGTTCCAGTGGTTTAATTAGGGAACAGTGTCACATACTGCCACACAATATTGAGTTATCTTCCTCTATCTGGTGATCTTTTGGCCTCGGTGAAAAAAAAAGAGCACAATCCTCTTTGGAATGGCTTTGAAGGCATGGGATGAAATTACTATTCAAAGATGGATAAAATTAATATATCCTTTTAAGAAATACAGTGAAGTTGACTGACCTGCTCAAGATTTATTAGCAAAGTGTGTCAGTAGTCAAGAGCATTTAAATATTCTGACTTCCAGTCCATCTTTTTACCTCATTTTTTCCAGATCAGTCTACAGAACAGTGCTCTTAACAGTGACTGAGGCAGTGAACAGAACTGAAATATTATGTGTATGTTTTTTCCTACAGTGAGCTTTCTTCTTGTGAGCAACTTAACCTCTTCAGGATTTTCTGGTTTGGGCTTTTCCTTTTAGTGAAAGGAAGAGAAAGGGAGTGAAGGAGATAAATAGGGAGGGAAGTTAAATCTGGAAGAGAACTTTGATGGTTCTTATTGATACTTACACTTCAGAAGGAAATGGCCATCACCACAAGTTAACAAAATGTATGTATATTAAAAAAAGATTTTAATTATTCCTGATCAGAATGCCTTGTCTAACAGTAATTAATTTCATGTCTTGGTATTGGCGTCAGTGGCCAGGATGAGCTCACATAACAATATATGAGTTTTCTAAGAAATTCATCATTTCTGGCTAGCTAAAGTAAGAGCTTGTATCTTACACCTATTTCAAATATGTTCAGTGATGATTCTGTGGGATGTAAGATTGTCATTCAGTGCATTAAATTGCTACTTTTTGAGATGTTTTTGACCCTTTGTTGTTCACACTTGATGTAGCAGTGCTGACTTCTCTGCTGCACAGCTAATTCAAGTTGCTGTCTAAAAATTAAGCTTTGAATCCTGTCTGAATACCTGTGGAAGTAGGTCCTGTATGACCTCAAGTTGTTTCCAAAATCTTATTTGCCTAGAATTATGTGTGAGAATATAGCTTTGTTTTGGAGAATCTATGCTGTGTTGCTGTCTTTTAACGATTGCAGGGGATGTTATGGAATGTACTGGTGAACAAAAAAATTCATTACAAATAATCCTGCATTTAGTAGTCCTCTAAACTAGAGAGGGATTACAATGAATCAGAGAAACTGGATGCAATATTAGCAAGGATTCTATGATTCTATGACTCAAATTGCATTTTCTGTTTAAATATTCTTAAAGATTGCTCTGATTTCATCTGTATGGTAAACTTTGGACTCATTGAGTTTGCAGGTAATTTTGCCTCTCATTTCAGCAGAATTAAAATTTTAGCTACAACGTGCAGCACTGCAATGAATTTTTGCTGACTTTTACCTTTGAATACCTGACGCTTTAATGTTTTTAGTATCAATACTGTAGATGGCTTTAGTCTCTTTTGGTTGTGAATGTTTAATTTTATTTGTTGTTTTACTTCTTATGCTTATTTTGATGTTAAGCACATCCCTTCTTTTGAACTTCTTCTCAGCAAACATTCAGCAGACCAAATAAACACCAAGAGGAACTCTGGAACTCATCCTTGTCACAGCCATGTAACAAAACTGCCCAACATATCTCAATGTCCAGCAAAATTAGTGTACCCCACAGCAGAATCATCAGAATTTGTTGATCATACATGCGCTGACCCAGTGTGATGATGTACCTCATCCAGTACACTCTAATTCCTTGCTGCTTCACAACAGTTGATTTTACCTGTTTTAATACTGTTTCCGCACCACAGGTACAAACTCTTTTTTTTTTTTGTCCTCTCTTTTTCTTTTTTTTTCCTCATCCAGATTTTTTTTAAATAATTAGGCCAAGATTAGAGCCGTGTTTTCTAACCTAGTTTTGGCTTCCAGTTGTCTGCTGCTTTGTCAGATCTTACAGGAGTATTTTTCCTGAAGTCCATTCTGTTTAAGTGTAGTCATTACTGAATGGTCTTGTCTTTATGTGATTAGGGCCTGACTAGTCACTGTTCTGTCGGCTAATTTTCTCTGCTTCTCCATTAGAGCAGACTATGTTGCTTGGGATGGAGAAATGGTGCAGCAGCTGCAGTTCAGATGAGATTGAACTGCTATGGGACCCTTCCCTGAGGACACACCAGAATTATAACCATGCGAGAAACTATTCCTTGTCTGTTGCAGCATGGTGTGACTCAAACTTTTAAAGTTTTATAACAGCAGCTTTCATTTTCACGGAGACAGACACTATTGAATTTGTAGTGAGCAGTTAGAACTTCCCAAATTCTGCCAAATGAAGAGTAAAAAAGAACAGTGTGCAAGATTCTCAGATAGCAAAGTTGCAACTGGAGCAAGCAGTTTAACTTTTCCCTCTCTTCCCACATTGTGAACAATTTAGCATTTTCTCCAGCTTACTATTCAGAGCTATTAATTAAATAGTTGTCGGCATTTGTTTGTGGTACATATTTTGGAGTTAGGTGACGACTGCCTGTGTTAGGCAACTCAGATTCTGAGCTGATATTTTTGATTGGATGTTTAGGTCACATGATGTGTTTCCTTTCTCTGACTTGATGATCTTCATTTCATAGAATAGAATAGAATCGAATTATAGAATAATTAGGGTTGGAAAGGACCTTAAGATCATCTAGCTCCAACCACCCTGCTGTGGGCAGGGACACTTTACGCTAAATCGTATCACCCAAGGCCTCGTCCAACCTGGTCTTGAACACTGCCAGGGATGGAGCATTCACAACCTCCCTGGGCAACCTATTCCAGTGCCTCACCACCCTAACAGGAAAGAATTTCCTTCTTATATCCAACCTAAACTTCCCCTGTTTAAGTTTTAACCCATTACCCCTTGTCCTATCACTACAGTCTCTAATGAAGAGTCCCTCCCCAGCATCCCTGTAGGCCCCCTTCAGATACTGGAAGGCTGCTATGAGGTCTCCATGCAGCCTTCTCTTCTCCAGGCTGAACAGCCCCAACTTCCTCAGCCTGTCTTCATACAGGAGGTGCTCCAGTCCCCTCATCATCCTTGTGGCCCTTCTCTGGACTTGTTTCAACAGTTCCATGTCCTTTTTATGTTAAGGAGACCAGAACGGCACACAATACTCCAGGTGAGGTCTCACAAAAGCAGAGTAGAGGGGCAGGATCACCTCCTTTGACCTGCTGGTCACACTCCTTTTGATGCAGCCCAGGACACAGTTGGCTTTCTGGGCTGCAAGCACACACTGCCAGCCCATGTTCATTTTCTCATCAACCAACACCCCCAAGTCCTTCTCCACAGGCCTGCTCTGAATCTCTTCTCTGCCCAACCTGTAGCTGTGCCTGGGATTGCTCCGACCCAGGCACAGGACCTTGCACTTGGCATGGTTAAACTTCCTGAGGTTGGCATCAGCCCACCTCACAAGCATGTCGAGGTCCCTCTGGATCGCATTCCTTCCCTCCAGGGTATCAACTGAACCACACAGCTTGGTGCCATCAGCAAACTTGCTGAGGGCGCACTGAATCCCACTGTCCATGTCAGTGACAAAGATGTTAAACAAGACCAGTCCCAACACCGATCCCTGAGGGATGCCACTCCTTACTGGTCTCCAGCTGGACATTGAGCCATTGACCACAACTCTTTGCATGCAGCCATCCAGCCAGTTCTTTATCCACCGAGTGGTGCATCCATGAAATTGATGTCGCTCCAATTTAGAGACAGGGATGTTGTGTGGGACAGTGTCAAACGCTTTTCCAAGTCCAGGTAGATGATATCAACTGCTCTACCCCTGTCCATCAGTTCTGTAGCCCCATCATAGAAGGCCACCAAATTGGTCAGGCAGGATTTCCCCTTAGTGAAGCCATGCTGGCTGTCACCAAGCACCTTGTTGTTTTTCATGTGCCTTAGCATGCCTTCCAGGAGAATCTGCTCCAAGATTTTGCCAGGCACAGAGGTGAGACTGACTGGTCTGTAATTCCCCGGGTCATCCATTTTCCCCTTCTTGAAAATAGGGGTTATATTTCCCTTTTTCCAGTCGTCGGGAACTTCACCTGACTGCCATGATTTTTCAAATATGATGACCAGCGGCTTCGCAACTTCATTCTCCAGCTCCTTCAGGACCCGTGGATGGATCTCATCAGGACCCATGGACTTGTGCATGTTCAGATTTTTAAGATGGTCTCGAACCAGTTCCCCTCCTACAGTGGGCGCAAGGTCTTCATTCTCACAGTCCCTGCATCTGCCTTCCAAGACTTGGGTGGTTTGGTCAGAGCCTTTGCCAGTGAAGACCGAGGCAAAGAAGTCATTCAGAACCTCAGCCTTCTCCAAATCCTGTGTAGCCAGTTCTCCCGAGAGCTTCCTGAGGGGGCCTACATTCTCCCTAGTCTGGTTTTTATTTGCTATGTACTTGTGGAATCCCTTCCTGTTATCTTTAATACCTCTAGCTAAATTTAATTCTAACTGGGCCTTAGCTTTCCTAACCTGGTCTCTAGCTTCCCGGATAACATCCCTGTACTCTTCCCATGCCACTTGTCCTTGCTTCCACTCATTATAAGCCTCTTTTTTCATTTGAATTTTCCTCAGGAGCTCCTTATCCATCCAAGGAGGTCTCCTGGCCCTCCTGCTGCACTTCCTTCTGGTTGGGATGCAACACTCCTGAGCTTGTAGCAGGTGATCCTTGAATATCAACCACAAGTCTTGGGCCCCCCTGCCCTCTAGGGCTGTATCCCATGGAACCTTACTAAGCAGGTTCCTGAAGAGGCCAGAGTCTGCTCTTTTGAAGTCCAGGGCAGTGAGCTTGCTGCACGCTCTTCTCACTGTCCTGAGGATCTCAAATTCGAGCATCTCGTGATCGTTGCATCCAAGGCTGCCCTGGAGAGTCACATTTCCAATGAGCCTTTCCCTGGTGGTGAGCACAAGGTCAAGCACGGCACCTCTCCTTGATGGCTCCTCTATTACTTGCAGAAGGAAGTTGTCTTCCACACAATTGAGGAACCTCCTGGATTGCTTGTGCCGGGCCGTACCATCCTTCCAACAGATGTCAGGGTGGTTGAAGGCACCCATGAGAACAAGGGCCTGCAAGCGTAAGGCTTTTCCTATCTGTCTATGGAGTGCTTCATCCGCAGGTTCTCCTTGATCAGGCGGTCTGTAACAGATCCCCACATTAATGTCTCCTATAGCTATATTCCCTTTAACCCTGACCCACAAACTCTCTGTTAACTGCTCACCTGTCCCCAGACAGAGTTCCATACTCTCCAGCCTATCCCTAATAACATAAAGGGCAACTCCCCCTCCCTGCCAGCCGGGCCTGTCTTTTCTAAAGAGCCTGTAACCTTCCATTCCAACACTCCAGTCATAGGAGCCATCCCACCATGTTTCTGCTATGCCTATTATATCATACCCCCGTAGACGTGCACATCTCTAATTCCTCTTGTTTGTTCCCCATGCTACGGGCATTTGTATAGAGGCATCTGAGCCTAGCTCCAACTGAAGCCAGCTCATTGGCTGGAGCGGCTGGAATATCTCTACATTGCTCCGAGCATTTATTATAGGTGCTGGCAACTGACTGGGTGTGTTGGAATGGAATGATGCCCCCTCCCCCAACACATCTAGTTTAAAGCCTCCTTGACCAGTCTGGCAAGCCTCCTACCAAAACCGCGCTCTAGACCAGCTCTACCAGCCACCAGTAGACCTGGCCTACAAACTTGGGTCCTGTGTTCAAGGCACCCAAACCCCTGACTATGACACCACCCTTTTAACCATTATATTAACCTGACTAACCCTCCTAGCTTTTTTAGGTCCTCCCCTGTATCCAGGAGAATTGACGAAAAGACTATCTGAGCTCCAGAGCCCCTAACCACCTCTCCCAGGGCTCTGTAATCCTTCTTTATGTTCCCCTGGCTGCTACTATCTATATCCCTAGCACCCAACATGTATCACCAGGAGTGGGTAATAGTCCGTGGGACTTACTAGAGCAGGCAGCCTCTCTGCCACATCCCTGATCCGTGCCCCGGTAGACAACACAGCTCCCTTGAGATGGGGTCTGGCCGGCAGACGAGTGCTTCTGTCCCTTTCAGTGTAGAGTCCCCTACTACTACGACCCGCTGCTTTTTCCTGGCAGCACCAGTAGAGATCTTCTTTAGCAATGCATCAGCCGGCTGTTTCTGGCTCGAGTGCATTTCCTCATTAGCCCCCTGCAGGACAGCAAAGCGGTTCTGCATGGGGACAACAGATTTAGGGAGAAGCCCCTCGCTTTTGGTTGTCCTTTTCCTCCTTTTTTTGTTGTTTTGTTGTTTTTTTTTTTGGTCACTAATTCCTAGCTTCCCAGGTTAACGGCTCCTTCTTTTCTTCATGAGGTAGAGGTGAAGCTCGAGGCCCCTGCACAGTTCAGGCCAGGAGCAAGCATTCCTGCTTCCTCTCAGCTTCCCTGACATCTCGCAGTCTATTAACGGCATCCCGCAGCTCAGCCCCTGCTGCAGGAGGACCTCCACCAGGGAGCACCGAGTGCAGCCCTGCCCGTTGTGCACCCTCCCCTCACCAGACCAGTGCAGACACTCTACACCCCGAGCTCTGCACTGCAGCCTCCCCTCTCATCCGCTCTGTCTGGGTGCCTACGCTGGCCACCGCCGGGGCAGCCAGAGCAGAGCTCCCGGACCGGGCCCTGCTCATACGACGAGTGCTCACCATCCCGCCCGCGCGAACTGCCCTGCTCACCCGCCCTCCTCGTCGGTCGCGCTCCCCGGGGCAGGTTTTTACCCATCAGGTCTGGTGCCGCTGCTTCAGGCTCCGCCCCGTGTGAGTCAGCTGCTCGCTCTGGTCAGCTGAGCTGCCGGCTCCCGGGCAGGTCCTGTCGAGGACTTGAGGCTCCCTCGGTGGCTGTCGCCGCTCTGAGTTGAGGCTCCTGGACGCTGATCTCCCCCCGCTCCGGTGTTGAAGGCGTCCTCTCTCGAGCCACTCACCTCAGCAATTGACCCAAATTTCTTTTGATTAAAGTTTCCTCAATAAATGTTTGGTTCTTAAATGATCTGCAAATAATTCTTTATACTTAGAAAATTCCCTGGTTTCTTCACTCTTGCTGATAAATCAGAGGAGTGCTGAGTATCTCTAAAAAAACAGCTATGACCTGAGAGATCGGGACACAAATTTGAGTGAATATTTGTGGTGGGAAAATTAAACAGTTTTTTTCAGTTGTCTCCATCCATCATGGATTTGAAAGATATACAGTTCAGTGAGGTTGGAGCAGGACATCACATATGTGCCATTCTGAAAAATCCTTCTTGGTTATAAAAAATTAATTGATAATATTATGTTTAGAGAAGGATATTGGTGCTTTTAAATCTCAATGTTTCCACAGGAAAGCAGCATTTCTTTTTTCTCATTATGGAGTGTGCTTTAGAGCTGCAATGCATTTTTATGCAAGCAATCTGTTTTTCTGTCCTAAGCCATTTCCTGTCCATGAATCACCTGCAGACTGGAATAATTCTGAATCTTTAAGCTTAATACTGATTTAAGATTAAAATGTCACTGTTGTGGTATATGGTTCAAATCTTGCTGTTATGCAGCCAGTTACATACATGCTGTCTATATCTTCATATTCACCACTACAGAGCTCTCTACAAAAGTACCAACCTCAGATATGAAAGGAGAGGAACGTCCTCAGTTCCTCTTGATTCAGCTGGAGCTAACACCACTCATGCTTTTGTAGAGCACTGCAGGATGAGCACTGCTATGCAAATCACTTCCTTCTATGGCGAGCTGAAAGTCAGCACTGCTTCACTGCCTTCATAGGCTTTGAAGGCTAAGAATTTTCAGTAAAGTATATGATAACAGTGTACTGACCTTAAAAAATAAATAATAATAATAATATATATATATATATACACAGCTTTACATGCCAGGTCAGTGGGGTAAATAATGTTTTTCTAAATAGGAAAAATGTGCCAAAATGCATACACAGTATTCTGGGGGAGCCATAACCACAAGCCTAAACTTTCAGCTATCATAGAATAGTTAGGGTTGGAAAGGACCTTAAGATCACCTTGCAGAAAGAAGTGTTTTGCACTGTTTTGTGAATGTTTAGAAAACCAAGTTAGACTAATATTTCAATGTTATTTAAGCAGAGTTGGGTGCATTCTGATAATTCATGTCCAAGCAGGAAAGGATGGCAAGTCCTCATCTCATGATGACCGTCCCAATAAAATCTGGTCATACAAGTAATTTCTGGAGTGTGGCTCCATTGCATGAGAACATGGCAAACTGCTGTGGACTTTTATTTTCTGTCATACAAAAGCAAACACTCATTTTCTTGTGGTGCTTGATTTTGCTTGAAATCTGACTATTTTGGTATTGAACTCCCTGTGGTAGTACTTACAGGGCTAACATGGCCTTAAAGCAGAAAACCTTGTGGTGGAAAGGCTCACTGTTTATTCCACAAAACACAGCATCTCTCCTTTTCCTTCAAGAAAGGTTTGTTTATTCCTCGTTTGTATCTTATGAGCATAAGATACATCCGGCTTTGCATCCCTACCTACTACTGTGGTTACTTATTTTGAGGTTTGTTTGTGGAGTGAGGAAGAAACAGGTGAAAAGCACTGGGCACAGACCTGCACTTCCTGAAATCATTCAGTATTTCATACTGATTAGACCAAGAATTGGAGCAGATTCACAGGGTTCAAATGAAATAATATAATGACAATGTCTGAATTAAACATGGCTGTTTGCTGTTGTCACAGCAAATTGTTTGCTGCATTGCACTGCAAATAGCTCTTAAAAATAGTGGGAAAAATCATGGTTTGAAGGAGTAAGAGGAGTGCTAGCTGCATTCATATTCTACGTGCTGGTTACTTTTAATACTACATCTAGTAAGTGTTTCTAAGAAGGCAGCAGTGGAAGAAGAAAAACGTGTGCCCAGCTTAAACATCTTATTTTAACTCTGAATTGTAGTGAGAAGACTTTGTTATAACAAATCTTGTGTTTAGGCACTCCTTTTATTGTTACTCAGTTTAATGGTTCTTCAGATTTTCTTCACTGAATCCTCTTTCCTTTCTTTTGTAGATGTTTAAATCTCATCCATGCATCATGCATTGTGAGGGAATTTGTTGCTGTAGACCTGATTGCAATGTTACAGTAGTGCAACTCAACTGACTTCTGCCTTGCAGGTTTGTAAAGTGAGATCAGACTTGGGTCACTACTTAGAGTGTTGTTTCGCAATGTGCTATGTCGCTTCAGTAAAGAATAAAATATTACCAGTATCTCTCCAGCATCTCTTTAGAAGGAGGTGCATCTATTCACCCTCTCCTTGTTTTTCCATCCTGGTTGCAGGTAAGATTTGATAAAAGCATCTGAGGAACAATAGAATTTACTTGTTTCAAAGGCTTTTTTTGGGGGGGTTGTGACCTCAGTTAGTGGTATCTTAAAAAACAATGTTGGTAAGGACCTTTGAGTTATTCTTTTTTGTACGATACATTGTGCTGTTCAGGGAAGTGGAGGAACAGGTGAAGAGATAGCCCTCTAGACCAAAAGCTTTGTATTACAGACTCCTTGTTGAAATAAGTTCCCAAAATTATTCCTAATGGAAGATATCTTTAAAATTTCCAATAACAAGAGGGTTTTTTTTTCTCCTCCATAGTTACAATGAATCCTTTCTTGGGTTTTACTTAAAACTGGAGCCCATCCCACCTCATGGATGTCGATTTCATTCCAAATTCCACAATCTAGGAATAAATTTAAAATTAGAGAAGCTCAGCAAGGACTCTCTGAGAAGTCTTTTTTCTTCAACTCGAATTTCAGCTATTTTGTCACCCGTGTTTCTATTTACCTGTCCTTGTTTCGTTTACGTCATCAAGTTGGCTTCAGTGCCTCCCTATTTATCTCGAATGTTGGCTTAGACTTTGCGTTTTCTTTAAGTATGCTAGACTTCACTAAGATCATAAAAACCATGGTCTGCTCCTTTTCGTTGTGGTCATTATTCAGAATGTTTTTTCTAGAACTAAGTAGCACTGAGTACTCATCAGGGTGTGTAGGAAGATGGAGTACCATGTAGCTGCAATTGCAACACAGACTGCAAAGCAAAACCTTTGCCTACTTTGTCAGTTATTTTACAAGTTGGCTTGTAGAGCTATGTGGAACCCTGATTACTTTCAGCTTCTCAACATTTTGCAAATCCAGAAAATGCAGTGTGCCATTTTCTGGAGTCACGGCATTTAAGGAGCTGTGACTTCTTCCACCGCTACAACAGAGGGCGGCAGCTGGCTACTAATGTGTGAATCACACGAACTTCGCGTTATCCCTTTTGCTGTCATCTTGCCACCTGCTGGCAAAATATGGAAGGCGGCAGAGAGTGAAAAGCAAAGACCTGCTGTTCAGAGAACGCCTCTCTCCTGCTTACACTAAGAACACAGTGGACTGAGTCCTACCTGTTACCCAACAAATCTAGGCTTTTTATGTCTCCAAGTTAATCGCTTTATTTAAAATACCACAAGAATTTTCAGAGGGTCCATACCTTAACCACTCAGCTTGAAAAAGGAAAAAAAAAAGAAAATCAAAACCCTGTCTAGCTCATTTTCTCAGTATCAGCTTAAAATGGTTTTGTACTCTGTTTGAGGCTCTGAATCTAACACTGCTTCTGCTGAAGTAAACATAAAGCTTGTATTGGCATGGTTTTGTGCATATTATGTACATTAAAGTAAATATAAAGTTCACTCCTATGCAGTAACTTCAATATTGTGTTCTTAAATGGTCACATTTAATCTTTTCTGTTAATATTTGAAACAGCTACCCCCCAGTGCCAGCTGAAACACACTGAAACAGTTTCTCCAAATTGAAACAATCAACAGCTCTGGCGTGTTGGATAGTAGGAGGTGAGTTTGCAAGATTCTTTTTTTTTTTTTTCTTTTCATGGCAGCCACTGGAATTTTGAACTTCTCATAACTGTTTCTAAATTACTTTTAAAAGGCAGCTCTTGGTTTACCCTTAGTTCTTTAGAATATGCTAGTGAATCAGTGCCTTCAAAGTTAACGAATAAAAGCTACTACACAGTTGAGACAGTCCTGTCTAGGACAAGTGTTCCAGGGACTTTTGTGACATTTCTTAAAGACATGGGTTGCAACGTATTGTTGTTCTGCTTTTTTTTTTGAGTTTTCTTATTACAGGATCCTATTTTTAATGTAATTCTTATCTGTTGTATAACCAGGGAAATAAGGTATATTCTCAGTTTTTAATAAGCTGTTTTGTATTTTACTTGTGCCAGCCTTACCCCTTCCCTAAGGATGCCATTACTAAGGGAGTTATAGTATATGTTTTAATGACTTCTAGTAATAGATATATGCTTATCTGATGCAATTTAAAAGTAAAGCATTATTCAGTTTTCCCAGATTTTAATAAATAATGTATTTTTTGTATTTTATGCAAATACAAATAATGTATTATTTGAAATTTGTAATATAGTATGTGGTATAATGCAAGCTGAACTTTTGTTTTTGTGTATATACAAATATGAAGCATATGGGTGTTCATGCAAACATTCAAACATACCTCCTTCAGTGAAAACTTACTTCATCATATGCTCAGAAATGCTGCCTTCAGTTAATGCTGTTTTGCTGTTGGTTCTGCTATGATGCTTAGTTTTTAATGAAATTAAAGTGTAGCTCTTCCTTTATTCCTGTTCTATTTTGCATCAAATTCCTGAAGGAACTGTGCAAGGGCAGCAGTGTTATTTTTCAGATCATGCACATTTTGCAGTCACTGAGGGTTCAAAGCCCATGACAGTTTAAATAAGGTGGCCATTTAAATTTCAGACCTGAGAGCTTTTGCATTTTTAATATTTTATTTCTGAGTAAGATGATGGTATAATTTAAGATGTTATTGAATGGAACACAGTGAACTGCTCATGATGAAGCAGGCTTCACTGAGGTAACCCTGCCAGTGGGGGTGATGGGACTCATGCCAGTTAATCAGTCTTAGTATATGAATTGGAATTCCTGGTTGGGCACTGAAACCTGGATATTGGCTTTGGATAATTATTATGTCAGAGATATTGGATAACTGGATAACAATTATCAGATAGACAGGTTTTCTATTTACCAGCAATGATTGCCAGAAGGATATTTATTCTCCCAAAGCATATAGTTAGACCGTTAATCTGTTATGTTTGTTTAAGCAAGGTTACAGTGGCTCTTCAGCTTGCAAACTAACTATAATTCCACAAACTGCTTAAGCTGACAGGAAGCAATGCTGCTGCTCAAAGAGGTGATTATACTCTCATTCCAACCAGCTGGTCATTCCAACAATTTCTCTCCTTCTATTCCATCTTCCTCTATTCTACCTCAGCTGTTTATGCACATGGTAAATCAGTTTAGAATGAGCTATCTTTAAAAGCAGTGAACCGGCTGATTCTGGTACAAAAGAAGCTAGAGAAATTAGAGCTTGTAGCATGAATGATGATCTGATTTTGTTATCATGTGAAGACAGTGACATGGCCAATTTTTGAGTCATTTGTGTCATTAGCAACCTCCTAAGAGCACAGTATGATGATAGAACAGTACCAATGCCACCCTCAAGGAGACACTAGGTGAATCACCTCAAAATGAGTTTTCATTAAGAGCATACAATAGCTGGCATTTCAGTTTAAAGCTGCAATTTTTGGTATAGTAAGTCACTGCACACAGAAGGTGTGTTAAGCTATATCACCTTAATCAGCTAATTATTCCTCACTAACAAAATCCAATTTTTCTTGACCTTCAAAACACACAAAACCAAACCTGAATTCTGTTTTTATTTGCTGGAGTGGGACAGTGAAGACAAGCACTCATGCTACACTGCAAGCATTGTGCATTGTAGTTTCATGGGCCATATTTTTCCAATGTCCTTCTAAGTAATGAAAACTCTGGTGTAATACCTAATGTATCAAAAACCAAGTGACAGAACTGTCCAGTTGAGTGGAACCCACCAAATTGAATACCTGTTAGGAGGATAGGTCTGCTGTCAATTTTCATTATGACTGGCTGAAGAATATTGACCTTTTTCATGCCAACAGCAACTGGTAGCAGTGCTTTTTGTAGGTGACAGTGCAGCAAACCTTCCTCTTTAAATATTTCTGAAACACTCTTGGAAGACAATCCAGTTGCATCCTAGAGTAAATTTCAAAAGTGAGTTGAGATGAAAGCTTCCTCATTGTTGGGCAAAGAATAAGAAAAATGTTAGATTACACAGAGATAAAGATTAGTACGGGAAGGTTAAAACACCACTCTAGAAATCTAAGGCTTGTTTTTACTTGAATTGCTATGATCCGTTTGTTTTGCAAGAGAAAAGTAGTAGTCTTTGTGACAAAGTAGTTAGAAACCACTAAGTTTTTCTTAGGAGAAGAGGCTGAAAATACTGTAAGTTTTTATTTTCAAATGTGGATGAATAAGAGTGCATGGTAGTTGGAAAATAAATGACTAGCGTAGACTGAGAAGGTAGAGTAGGTCTTGTTTCCCATTTGTCATATGAAAACTAAAAACAGTTAGTATTAAGTGACACTCTTAAAACTTACAAGAGCAAAGAGTTCTGCTACAAGGTACTGAACAACTTGAGTCAGAATAATTTGAGACTATTTTGTGGCCATGAGTATGATTGTTCCATTTCAATGGGGAAGGAGCACAGAGAAAAGAGATCCTTAGCTTTCAGGGCATGAACAGAATTTATAGGCTTTAAACTTTCACTACAATCACCTTTTTCTGAAGCACTTTGAATTCTAGCTGCTACTAGACATAATTGCCTGTCCCAAACTTGCTTTGATTACTTCTAACAATTATGCATGTAAGGATCTCATTTTTATGCATGTCCATGCGCCATTTCAACACAATTGATTGACCTTTACCTCAACACTAGCAATGAAAATAATCTATAAAATATACACTTCTCATTTGACAATTTACATTTTTTCTTTATAGTTATAGAATCTGGTCTAATTCCCTTCCTTCATAAATATGTACATATATTTGTGTGTGTATACACTTACAAATATTTGTGTGTATGTATTTATTATGTGTGTATATACTTGCTTATGGCTTGTTTAGCATAGCAAAGTAAAAACTAAGAAAGAATGTGATAGTTTTCTGTATGGAGGAGCTAGAGACAGAATAAATATCAAAGCAGGAAAAGTTATTTAAACTGAAAGAAAATGTTGGCAAACAGTAAAAAGACATCATATGGTTGTAAGTAAGGTGTGTCAAGTACTTCATAGAAGACTTCAAACTATCATTAGGGTGAGGCTTTAGAATGACATTTTTAAAGCAGTGTGAGTAAGAAAACTCTAATAGTTTTAATTCAGGACTTGATAAATGTGGGCGGACTAAATCAGCTATAGATTGGACCTGTAACCTAGGAGGTCCTCTCCCCAGTCCCATAGCCCTAAATGAATAGTTTCAAGTGCTACAATATGTCGCACTTGACATATAAATGGAATATAAAATTCACTTTATGGATGATAACACTCTTAAATGTGTTAATAGAGCATATTAACTGTTTCTCTTTAAATTTTAGTGTTCAGTGTATTTGTTTTGAATAGTAGGAGAGAACTGCTAGAACCACTCTGTAAAACTGCTTTGCAAGTTGCCACAGCAATTAAATAGTAGAGTTCTATGGTGTTCCTTTCTTGAGTCTTAATTCTGTTATATGACTTTTAAAATAACAAGCCAAAATTTCACATTTCATCCTCATTTTTCTGGCTAGTTAGAGAATTGATCAAAAGTATTTTGAATTCATGTGAGCCTTGCCCTAACTGTGCTAAAATTTATCAACTGGTTTAATTTACCCATAGTTTGGATTCCTTCTGTCTGGTTAGATTCCTCATGTTACTTTGTAGTCAGCACAGGGCACAACCAATGGTTTCAGAGGGTGTCTAACAACTTGGGGATCTGTTCTTGTGTTTTAAACATTGCTCCATTTAGCAACAGTTCTAAGCTGAATCTCTATTTAAAATAATAGATGGGTATTTTTATTTTTTTCCTATCTGCTTTGCTGTTGATCTTTGCAATTATGCGCTCAGGCAGAACTTAATAAGGGAGCTCTGCTTAGACTCTTCACTTATTGTAGATTTTCCCAGAGGCCACAAATTAGCACGCAATAAAAGATTACTTCTGTCCTGGAGTGTTTTCAAATCAACAGAAGACTGAAGGAGGGAAAAGAGAGAGTGATAACAGACATGTGACAGAGAAAGAGCTGAAACACCAAGGACTGTATCCAGTATTCTTGCTATAGTGACCAAGGTGGAGAAAGGCTTTTTCAAACAGTTTCAGCTACCTGTGTCATTGTACCCTTGTTCATGGAGATGAGTCCTGCGTTGTTAGATTTCTTCTTTCATATATTTTCTGTGGAAAATAAGAAACACTTCATGTTCGGAATGTTTCTTCCCATTTAAGTGAGAGCCTGACTGGCTAAATGGTTTCCCTGAATATTCCAAATCTACATTTGCATTTGGAATGAGTTAGGTGTCACTTCCTCTGGTTTTCTTACTGGTTGATACCAGCCTATGTATTCTGGCATGTCTCTGGACCCCTCTTTGGCTGTGGAAAAATGGCTGTACTTTGTGCTGCATTCCTGAACCAGTCAGATATAGTTTGGAGGGGTTTTGTTATGAATCTCAAGAGCTTGAGCTGTGTGGTTTCTGGCATAAATACTTCCAGGTGTGAGCCTTTGCTGATCAGTTGTGTCAGGAGAGCACTATTCCAGAGCCTGTCTTGGAGTAGGAAAACTGGTGTGAACAGGTGTTTATTTCCTGGATGATGCCCTTAGGAGTAAGAGTAACTTGTACAAACCTCAAATCCTAGGCAAGATAGTATCATGTGCCCTTCCCCCTGCCTGATAAAACAAGTAGGGA